TATATCCGTTTTTCAATTATAGTCATGAGTCCCAATATAAACATATTTGCATTGCAAATTAAATATTTATTAAATCAAGCTATCAACATTTCTAGTGTGTGGTTGGAGAACTCAGAGAAAGTATTTCACGAGGTCTATGTAATTCACTACTCGCCTCGTAAAAACTAGCCAGACAAAACAGAAATATAATATGTAGTACATCATAATTTAAACGAAATTGTTACTCGCTCCGCATAACTCGAGCTCTTCCTAATAGTTCACACCTCGTTCGCAAACGCGGTCTCATTTTATAATTACAGTCGCTTACTCAAAGATGACCTTTCACTTTCTTAAATAGAACCCAACTTGCATTCTTCAGAATAAAGGTTAAGAAATTAGCTCATATTGTAATTAAGAAATAGTAGAGCTATATATGTATCTATCATAATCACAATGAACGCTAAAGCCTCTTCATGTTAGTAAATTGATGCTAAGACGGATTTGCGACGTAGAGGAGATGAAATAACACTCCATAAATGCAGAAAATCTCTTCCTTGTATCCAGTTTAATGCAACGAGACAGACACATAAATAAAGGAACATGTAAGCTTAGAATTATAAAGACAGATGATACCTAAGATTATTAACCTATTAAAACAATAACAGTTGCGGCGACCGACTGTCCACGTTTTCGCATATTGCTCAACTGTTACCTACATTCGTCCCTGCCCACGCGCATGTTACGTAACTGCTTTGAAATTAGAATAGAATACCGCCTAATGACGGCTTGTAGCGCTTGTCAAAGTAATACCACCTGTCAAATCTAGCTTTTAAATATAAGAATAGGTGTTAAACATGATTAATACCGATTTGTTATCGATTGTGATTGTGTTGCATCGTCGTTTGTTTGTAAACTATGCATTTAAGTGTTCACAACAAGAATTTTTCGTTCAAAGGGAACACTGCACTTAGAGCTCGGTACTTGATATGTATCAGTTGTAAATAAAGTACACCTGACAATTTTATGCCGATTTGATAGAAATACGGTCTCCGTTTTCCGTGATACGAATCTTTCTGGGAAAATCGCATAAAATGTATGCAGACAACGTATCGCTGCAACTGCAAGAGTGTGGATAAGTACTATGGAAATTGTCACATTCGACATAACTTTACAATAACATGGTAAAAAAAACATAAACATCAAGACAGCTCAAAATTAAGACAATACCATTTATATATTAAGACAAAAAAAAACACAAAATAAATAAAACTTGAAAATTAAAATGGCTGACAAGAAATCGAAAAAAGAACAATGTAAAATGAAGTCTTAAGCAAATAATGCCGGGCAGCCAATCACGACTGGGTCGGGTTCACATCGCAGGTCAGAAAGCATCACGACAATGCCGATAGTCACCGAACATCGTACAAACATTATAATTAATATCATTGAACACGAATCAGTTAATAAAAGAGAAAGGTACCCAACCTTGGACGGTGCAGTCCATTTAAAAATAATAATATTGCGAGCTTTAAAATAGCACATATACCAACATGGTGGGTTAAAACTTGACGAACACGAAATTTTTTATCAAGGGACTCAAGTTTTTTTGTGTATTATCATTCATTATTAACTGTAAAATTTATGTTTACGAGTACCTATAAGAGGGCCAAAGAAACCAAGAGGGGCTTAAGTCTTAATACTCTTGGATATCAAAGGAATAATGCATTCAGTTCTTAATCCGCAGAAACTACAGAAATACTAAACACTGCAGTAATATTCTCTCAAAATACGCGTAATAGCTAGATAGTCTAAACATAAGATGCGCCTATTCTCTGGTTACAAGCGTAGAAATTGATTGACGTGTAATGTTCCACTCCAATAGTTGTTTACACCAGATTGTCAAACGAATTGGAATAATTGCAATAATAACCGAGGCAATAGCAATATTTCGAATTTCTTTTGTAAACACGTCCACTCGTCCACTTACTTGGAAATTGTTTAAGTGCTGTTACATTACTTTGATATTTTACTAAATAAATATGAGTCGGAACTCGGAACTCGGATATTAATCGAAAATTCATACTTTGTAAATTTGTATCATAATTATAAAAAATAACACGTATAAACCTTCTGAAGCTCATTAAACAGTTAAAATATTTTTTTATGAAAATATCTGACAATATATAAGGATCCGATTATCGATACTTAACCGGGACAGCGATGGTTTTCCAGTATTCGTTTTATTACACAACAGTCTATCCGGAATCAGTAGTGTATAAATATTTTTTTTTATTGGAGTCCCCAATCACAGGCGTGATGAATCGTAGAAACAGAGCGAGCGGGCGCGTGCGCCGGGATCATTGACCTCACGTGAAACAATTTCCCGAACAGAAAGTTTGGGAACAAATTATCAAGACTTTTTCTTATGAAATAATGCAATATAGTAAATAACTTAAATGTGTGTAATTTCGTCAGAATTGAAAAGATTGCAGATATGCTAAAATCTGTTTTATTGAAAACAATGTTTTACTCCTCAAAAGAGTACGTTAATGATACAAATTCCTTGCTAGAGTTACATACTAGTGAAAAATCGACTATGATAATAATTTGGCTGGCTATTTCCATACTTTACAGAACTTTGACTACACTGTTTAGCTACAGATTCACAATATTTGAGCAAATTATTTACAAAAATACAAAAACCACAAGGTTTTGAGACGAGTGTCTATCGTGTGATTTTTTTCACCGATCAATTACATTGTCTATTAATATCAATTTACCTATCAACAAACTGGAATAACTGGTTTTTGTTAACCAATGTTTTGTTTAGTGACATTAGTGGTTACGGTTAAAATACTCAAAAGATGTTTACAGAGCTTGAAAATGAAGCTGATTAAGCTGAAATCCCTGGTCAAGTATAAGATTATGTTAGTAACAATAATGGATAACTAGGGAGCGAGATAGAATCTTATCGCAAAACTTAAAGATCACGTTGGTCACATAAAAATGCTTTCAGGATGAATAAAATATTGTTTGTATTATTTTATATTATAAAAATAGGCGAAAGGCATTATTATAGCACCAATTTCAGAATTTTAGTACGCTGCGAGCACCTCAACAAGTTCACTCTTAATTACACATTATGTGAAAATCCTTCGGTAAAGCAAAAAACAATGAATGGCGAATAATTTTTAAAGTATTGCGTAGTGGAAAATCCTATGCTAATAGGGTTTCCCTTTTCTCCTTTGTAAGTGTTAACACCATCAGCATAATGTAGATGTCATCGGAGTGACGGCTTTCTACTTGGTACTCCACCACTTTCCTCTTCCTTATCTTAAGTGGTGACGTCATCGCTATTTGAATAATGCATTGATAAGTGAGAATGACACGTCTCCTTGTAGCCTTTTATTGAATCCGAATTGTCCGTGTTTTCATTCATTGTAATTCCCTTTCAAACATACACTTACTCCAAATTATCAGTTCGCATTACCTACGTAAAAATCTATTGACCACATTTAGTAAAAACAAAGTTCTAGAAGAGATTAATAGGCGAAATAATTCCGTATTAGATTGGTTTCTGAAATTGAGTAATGACTCTACTGAGATTTAAAATTGTACCTAAGTATTAAGTTATTTCGAACTTGGCGAGTTTTGTTTTTAAATTATGATGTTTATCTTTACGATGACCATTTTATTACAATGAAAAAAGATTCTTTTTATTACTATTTATTGACATACGACCGTTCTATGTGGTCAGATACTAGAGGTAGAATTAAGGCGTTTGTATGACAAAACTAGTATTTAGGGTAGTCAAACGTGGTGACTGATGACAAATAGGTTATTTAGCCTTGCTGTTATACATCGCAAGAATGATTTCACATCCAATCCAGACTCAAGACAATCTAGTTCTTAACTGCACATGAAACACAATACAGTGTGCAAGTTAAATTAAGTCCAAAAGCACTTTCACAAAGCTCATTTTAAATTGAAATACAGACTTGAAACACAGATCAGTCAATGAGAGCAATTTTCTTTATAAAGATGGATGTTTCATTTAGATAGTCAATACAATCAGTTTGAATGTGAATTGAATTGATATTAATTTGTATAATACATATGTCGTTGCGTACAACAGTGGCCATAGCCGAGTAATCGACCTCGTGAGAATATAAATGTGATTAGGCCAGTATTTCATTGAAAAAATAATGTTCTTGTGTAGGAAATGACCTTATTGCATTGTCAAAGTCATATGGAAATTGCGGATGAATATCTTTTTAATTTAATTTCTTTAATTAAATCAGAGCCTTTATTTCAATTAATCGACATTCATACACACGGCTTTTTCGAGGAGTCAAATTAGAATTGTCCGTCAATACAGGTACGGACTGTACGAACTGTCGATAGGAGCTTGGTACTGCGAAGGTACTATGCGGTATATTTCTATTTTTCATTTCATGTACAGGTGTACATTTTCACATTAGTACGATGTCCAAAAGAAGTGTTCATTATTATTAGCTATTTACAGATAGATAATAATTCGGTAATATAAATATGACATGAGATAAATTTTTGTTGTTCTCTAATTGGAAATAATTATGTAATATTCATTTTATAAATGTCTGTTTCTACCACCATCCTTTCTCCATATTGTATCAAAACAAGGAAACGATTCACAAACAAAACACTTCTCACTTTAAAGAGCCGATTACGTATACAGATTATTCGCAAGCGGATTTTAGTAGCATCTACGTAATCGTTTATGAGGCAGAAATTAAACAAATTCTATTTCTGATCTCATGTAGCTAATGTAGGTAGGTACCTATGAAATTGTAGGTACCGCTTCTTTGTTTTCCATAACAGCTGCAAATAGCAACAGCGGTGTAAAATAGAATCTATTTCGGATTCATATTGTTTATAATCTAGAGAAACCTTCACGAACACTTTATTACATTAGGTTACATTGGTGATGTACATTGTACACGTTCATTTTTAAGATGTCATTTCGCAATAACGGTGTTTTTAGAATGAGATTGAAGTTCGTTAGCGTTAGCACCAAACCACATCCTTACTCGTGCTGTTGAAAAAACTTAATCATAACATCTGGCACGCTTATCGTGGAACAGACATCAGACGCGAACGTGAGTTCTCCAACGCCAAACATACCGCGCTGTGCGGCCGCGGCGCTCGCGATTACGCTGGAAAAGATAAAACCTGCGCGGAAAAACATCAAATCAAAAACTGGCTCCTTCATTCAATTGAAACACCTACAATATTTTTGTAACAGGTTCAGTCAAGTGTAAAATGTGATTAAAACTGTGATCTTTATAAGTTAGTGCATCAAAACATGATTGAACTGTTAAAAGTGAATGACAACAAAGTAAACGGAACAATGAGAGATATTGGATCTGATTCGTTCGTGTGCCGAGTCCAGTACTTGGACGACCTGGACCCTTTCATGGAGTACAATGTTCGGGAGCCTCCTCGACCTCTGTACCATACGTTCAACACTACCATACCCTTGTCGTACCAAATAGCTGCCGTTCATCGCTTGCTGCAGGCCCCACATCGGGTGAGTGTTACCTGTTGTATAACCATTTTATTGCTATTAAAATACCGTAAAAATATTTTATTACTTGCTATAATACGCGTGTACGACCTCCTTCGTTAATTAAAAAAAAACAATCGCCGATTATTTCGCGGTCCCGAGCTCACGCATCGGCCGAGCACGTAAATATTGACAATAAAAATCAGTCACCGATAAATTCAACGTTTTATCAAGAAAGGACTGGTTTTACAAAGAAAGATAACAATTAGTGTTGATGATTAATTTTTGTCATAAAGGCAAAGGTTTGCATAGATAAGACATATTAAAAAGTCGATGAGTTATCAAGGTGTATGAATTTTAGCTAGATCGCAGTGAAGGTTACACGAGGAACGTAATTTAAAGTTTTTTATGTATTTCATGAATGGAATATTAGAAGAATAGATAGTATATGTTCCTAATGGGCATTCGTGCCACTTTCATACACTTTAGCATTCGTAAAGGAGTTGATCATGGGATTATCTATTTATATAGAAAAAGACAAAATTGTTATAAAGTAGGGTGAATATTAGTAATCACATAAAAATTTCACCGAGGGGAATATATTGAAAACGAATTAAATTATACATTTACTTACCTAGCAGTTTTATTAACGACAAATTTTAGGCTTTATTTTGGCAACAAATACTTGCCACTATGCAAAGAGTCCTTTTTAGTAGTTACAATCTAACTAGACATATGTTCTAATTTAAAGACATCCTAGACGGTTAGTCTCAACATTTTTGTAGATTTTACTACCTACTAGAGATAGCATTTTGACATGTATGTAGTAGGCACCTCAAACCTTAAAGTATAAATTCTGATTGTGGACATCGCTGAAATAATCCAACTAAAAAAAGGTTCAGATCAATACTTACAAGAAATAATAAGAACATAAAATATTTGTTATATTTGCATTCGAAAGACTTGATAAACTTCTTAATCAAAGTTTAGTTCTAGTTACCAATTATCGCTATAAAGAACTGATTTCTTCGGAAAATGCACTCGGTAATCCAGTTTTGTAAATGTTCAGCAGTTCAGTAGTGCGATGAAAATAAACATTATTACTAATACCAAGTGTTACTCATCACGGTATTTGGCTAAAATTATGCGTGCTAAATTCTATCGCTACCTCGCTCAGGTGTTACTATGACATAATGTGACTTACCTATTATTGTACCGTGTACGCACTATTGTCTCAGATACTAGATGTCGGATCCATCCGTCTGATTGCTCTCCAGGTTGAGCAAAAGTTAATTGATGTTTTCTTTTAATTTTTTTTTCGAAACTCAATAGGAGTACTTATAAATTAACAAAAAATCGCGGGAACATATTTTTATTTATTTAAATCAACACATACTAACAGGTTCCACCCAATGCGATAATATTGTCACTCAATATAAAAGCTTATAATCAATATTGTTATAACACAGCCATATTAATTGCACTTACCCATTAACTACATACGTAATTCTTCATTAGGGGTTCTTCCCCATGAGCAGCGTGCGCGGTCGCGGCTATGTCACGCAGCCTACTCTGTGGTTCGAAACTAGTAGAGCTTTTCTCAGTATGTTCACGTGAGTAACCTGTGATTTTTAGTTAATTTAGTATGCCTCACGATAGTTATTATGAAAACAGTACTTATAAAGAATAGTCATCGTATGTGGCTGAGATTACACCATATTGTGTACTGATGACCTTTCAGTTTGTCTTCAGGGTAGCTATGAAATCTACGACAGATAAACGCAATTGATAGTGACGGGAGCTAAAAAAAAGTATACGATGTCAAAAATATCAATAATGCGACAATAAGATTCAGTTTTCATTTCCGTAAGATTAACTCACTGAAATGAAAAACGAAAACGTACCTTTAATACCTTTTATGATCTCGATAAGGTATTAATGAGTATTCAGAAACTGAAATATCAAAAACTACTTTACTCTACACTAGATCAAATAATTGTTCATACAACTAGGCAATAGGGGAGTTTCCTAAATTGTATTTTAATGTCCGTCTGGTAGATTAATCTAAAACATTGGACACGTATTTTTTATTTTCTCACAAAATTAAATGGTTCAACGATATTTTAATTTGATATATCGTGTGACGTCACAGCGTGCTACATTTTGCAGCACGTTGTGACGTAACGACCTCTAAACATAACGCCATTTTATCTAAGTATTGTTTTCTTATACGACAAAATAAAAAAATACGTTTGTAATTTAAATTTTTTTCATTACCTAACTGACGGACTAAATAGATTTTTAATATTGCAACCCCGGCAACTACCCTATTATGGCACTAGCAGTTACTCAATATAAAAAATTGTATATTGTTAAATTAAATACTTTGCCAATGACCTCTTACAGTTTACATGTCCCATATCTTTTAAAATCTTGTGACCATTGACTATTTGATTCTTCCATCCTATACAAAAAAGCGACTACAAAAGTAAAATGCTCACACAATTTGAAATAGCAAATCACATGCAAAGCGACCTATCAGTTAACAGAAGCTACCTGATAAGTACTGTTTTTACGGCATACACCAGTTAATGGTAACATCCACTTAACTAGAACTAGCATATAATACCTGGCACTTAAATCTCAAGTGAAACATTCATTACCTTTAGACCCACTCCCGGTATAGAACCTGTTTCCATTGTCATACCATCTGTCTGAACTCGTTCGCTGCATTCTCGATTACACTGTTTAGCAAAATTACTTACCCAGTAATCTGACGTAAGGCACAGGATGTATATGAACGGGAACACAGAAAATTGAGCAGAACAAATTATGATAATTATTGTTTTGTACACTGTAATGCATGATACTTATTACTGGACTGCTCTTATTGCCCGTTCTAAAGGATGTTTAGTTTATTAGTATGATGGAGAACTGCCAGACCCCTAATTATCGTTCCGTACCTGTATGATTGCTTTCATGTTCGTACGTAGCTGTCATTGCAGGCATTCCAACGAATATTTGCTTTCTTCTACAATTATCGGAAAATATAAATTACATGTACGTATGAGCAAACCGAACGCAATCAATGTTGGATTGTCTTTTACGTTGATTTTTTCAACCGGATAAGAATTAGCTGACTACTAGATAACTTCACAGGCTTCTGGATGACCGTAACTACAATCAAACGTTCATTATTTAAGTATACTTTTGATATTAAATCCAGTATTTAAAGCGAAAAATTTATTTGTTTTGGTCACAAGAATATGTATGACAATAGTGATATAAATCATTGTTTATGACTTCATTACTCACTAACTTAATCTTTCTTTTCCTCGTTGCGTTCGTCGGAAGTTTATTAATCATGTCCAGATGTACGTAAAATGTTATCTCGGAATTTATACTGTAAACGCTATTATACCTGAGAATATACGAAGAGAAACCTTGAAATGTTATACTTTCTGCATTTTAAAGCTGTAAATATGTAAATTGAATTGCAGAATAGTGGGCTTGAAAAGAGGAAAGGTTAAGCAGAGGTTAAAACAGATTCTGCACTTCATAAAATTGAAAATAAACTCTTTATGCACAATTGCACATACGTAATATAGTATTACTTGTCTTACCGTTCGCATGCCAACGAAGTGAGACGGCAAAATAAGATGCAAAAGAAAATGCTTGTCATCAGTGCACCTACGTGAAGAAATTGTTCTGTACTCAAAATTGCGTGGCTATCCCTCAACTCATTTAGAAGTTTTGTTCTGTTTCCAGTGATCCCTCTGACCTTACTTCCTCTGTGGTGACATAATATGTGTGTCATCACATTACTAGATCTGCCAAAAATAATGTGGACCGCGTGTTCCAGGAAACGATGTGTGAGCGTATGATGTTGCAGTAGGACAGCATACGATGCGTCAAATGTGGGTCGAGTGGTTCGGATCGTTTCCAGTTTATTTCTATTTCTCTTGTTGATTATAATCGCGTCGTTAACTTTTGGGGAACGAAATATAGTTAAATCTCCAAAGTTGAGACAACCATCCGCATTATTATTTTTGTAGTACGATTAAGAAAAATGGGAGCCATTCAGACTAGACAGAAAGTAACACATTCAAATGGAAAAAAAAATACTCGACGATTGCTAACAAAAATGCTTGCGAACTCACACCTATGTGTAGGGAGATACATTATGAGTTCATAATAGATAGCATTCCAGATAACTGCAGCGTTATCGGCTAATAACATAGGTATTAATAAACTGATATAAATCAAAGTCGGTATTCCACGTTGACCTGGCCCGAGGCAAATGTTTGTGATAAGTGAAACACTCACCGGCAAAAATGTTTAGATATTGCTATCGCTAAAATGCCACTAGCAAACGAAACTGCACTGTTGTCAAAACTCTTTAATAAAATTTCAACTTTGTAGCAAAATAATAAGGTTGACAGCCCTTTGAAAACCTTATATCTTATCGTTTATGCCATCATAAACGGTAGTCTAACCAAAGTAGTATAAAAGTCAATGTACGGATTTGGCATAATTTGTCATAAGTCAACGCCAATCTCGTATAATCATTTTTCTATTTACCTCAATTAATGATGGCACTTGATCGTTTCATATCTTGTATAAATGAAACAAAAGAGACTTGAACAAAAGAGATATAATTCCTAGGCCCCAATATATCCCCGTTCCTAAAAAACAACGGTCTTCTTAATTCAATTTCTTTTGCCTGGGACTGTACCTACGTGTACTGTCACATGTAAAATGACATCTCTTAGTATCATTAATCGTTCCTGAGTTAAAAGGTCGATTCTAATTATAATTATTAATTATCTCAATCGCTGTACACTTGTAGGTAAAATTGTATTACATGGAAAGTCAGTTGATCTTAAGTCAAGTGTGATAGGAACATAATTAATATAATAATAATTATTATTATTTATCAATTATCGTTCCGATTCTATTTTAGGAAGATTAAAAGATTTTTAGCTGACTGATTTGATAAAACTATAAAGCTATGTCCCGTATTT